CCCAAAAATACTACTCATGTGTCTCACCTAAGGCAGCCACCCTGATTCCCTTCGAGGTCTCTACTTGAAGGGCCATCACGTGGTTTAGGGTTTAGGATTGAGGGTTTGGGGTTCAGGATTGGGGGTTTAGGGTTGTCATGGGACTTACCAACGCCTTATAACTGTGGTTATAAGCCTACTTTTACGCCCCTAAATGGCCTCAGATGCGTACTCCAATTATGACATTTGGTTGGAACTCCAGTTGTACATAGTACCTAAGCCTCGTGCTAAGTACGCAGGACTTCTCGTACAGACCTGTCAGGCTCAACCCTAACATGATTTCGGGAAACTCTAAACCCTAAACCCCAGATCACAAAGCCTAAAGCCTCAATAGAACCCTAAACCCTAACCCCCAAACCCTAAACCCCAAACCCTAAATCCCAAACCCCAGTAGAAGTGTCTCTGAGAACCTCCAAAGGATCCTTTTGAGGCCGCTCCTAGGCAATCGAATTGGGCCAGTGGCACCATGTAGCCTACGGTGTGCTTACCCTCTTCTATGCTTGCAAGGGGGGGATGGAAAGCAGAAAGGAGTTACAGGGTTTAGGGTTTCAAGGGGCTCAGCATGAGGTTTTCTATGTAGAGGTGAACTAGCTCCTTGTACCTTGGAAGAATGCGGCCATCACAACAAGCAAGCATAGAACACAGGATACGTTATGCCGCTTAGGGTTAAGGGTTTAAAGTTTTACTCTAAAGGTCAGTATGGCTCTGGGAACCTTCAAAATCTAGGCGACCATGAACCTTAGAGTACTATAAGCACATATGAGGATTACCTAAGGCAATAGTATAGTACTCCTGATTTTTCAGGCTTTTACATTGGACCTGTAGTGGGTAATAGAAAGCCAAGAGATGGAATCAGAAAGACTTTGATTATAGCCATGTGAAGGGATGTTCAGAGAAGAAACTGGCCTTATTCTAAATCCTATCGACACTGCACGAGGAACAAGGGATTTGGGTACACCATGTATCCTGAGCCCTAGATCACAGCATTTGGGACCTGAAGCCCCGCGATTTGGGCACGTGGACCCTAAACCCTAAGCCCTAAGCCGTGAACCCTAAACCCTAAACCGTAAAACCTGAGCCCTAAACCCTAAGCCCTAAGCCCTAAACCGTAAACCCTAAGCCTTAAACCCTAAACCCCAGACGAGCAGCACATCGAACTCCTCCACAAAACGCGTGACTTTGGCTTTAGCGCTTTCTGAAGACGACGCCATGAGTCAGGCTCTAAGCGAATAACTCATATAGGTTTAGGGTATAGGGTTTAGGTCGGGTTTTTAGGTTTGGGCCCAACAATTTCTGCGTTTAGGGGTTTAGAGTTTAGGGCCAGAATTGAGTCAAGCACTATTCAAAGACTTAGGGTCAGGCTCTTGGCGAGTTGTAGTTTGAGGTGGTTTTGCTGCTTGCTGTACGTTGAAAGCTCTAGGTTTGGGTGGTTAGGGTTGAGGGTGTAGTGTGTAGGGTGTTAGAGTTCAGGGTTTAGGGTTCAGAGAAACCCAAAGCCAGGGATTTCTTGGGTTAACATAGAATCTTCCAGACGGAAAGCAATCGACCCTTCAGCAAAGTCTTGGGCTCCTAAGGTTCCTCCAGACAGGGTGTACTTGGAGGGTCAGGGGGACTTAGTAACTAGGTTAATGATGGGGAGATCTGGGGTTACTATTTGGCTTCTAGGCAGTATAAATATGCATTACTAGGTCCCCCTGACCCTCCAAGTAGGGTGTAAGGTTCAGGTATTAAAGTTCGTATACTTTAGGCTATGGCTGCACGAAACCCGGCTAGGGGCGGTAGCCCCTCGTAGCGATTTGGTGGCAGGTTCCTGTATCATGGGTTGAGGCTTAGTGTGGCTGGGTTTGGGATGTCTGGCATCGCAATGGGGGCGGTTTGGGGTATGAGCCAGCTCCCTCTGGAGCTTTCCCTGGGCCCGCCGCGATTTAAAATAGCTGCGGAGAGCGAAAGTCTGTAGCAAGGGTGAGTGCCAGGGCTTATATCTCCATCTACGTACAGTTTTGTAGCTGTACCCTGTCAAGTGTGAGAGCTGAAGGCACATGAAACCCACTTTTAGATCTAGAGGAAGGCGCTAGGCGACCCTTGCAAAAATTGTCACCAGACTGCTGAAATTTCCCTAATGGCCCAGGCCAGTCAAGAAAGTAGATAATTTGGGCCCGAATGGGTTCCTTTATATGTACTTTGGGATCAAATTACATACGGTTTAGGTACTTGGATCCTTAGGGGTGCCCCTAAAATCCTAAGCACTAAACCCTAAATACATACTACTTAGGTACTTTGACCCTTAGGGAGAATCCAAAACCCTAAATCCTAATTGCATACTATTTAGCTACTTGGACCCTTAGGGTTTCTTTAAGTCCTCACCTCTGGATACAAAGGTACAGGCAAGGCTTTTCCCTCTCAAGACATCAGCCGGGCAACCCATACTACATTCTTTAACTTTGGGGTGTGGGGTTTAGGTCTTTGGCTCCCCCATAACTATTCGCCCGGCATGCAGCTCCTTGTTGGGGGTATCTTATGAACTTCCTACAAATTTACGATTCTAGGATAATAGGTAGCCCAGGAGAGGAACAACATTCTGAGTGACTGTACCTATAGACCCTGTTCTTCTTCTGGTGATAACCATTGTGACAACTCGACCTTTGCTGAATATGCCCCTGGACCCATTTGTGTGCATCTCTCTCTCTCTCTCTCCCCTTTATATATTTATATAGTTATCTATATATTAGGAGGAGGCTAATATGCATATGTATACTCACCCCTATATACCGCATAAAACCTACAGAACCGTGAAACATGTATTGATAGCGGCCCAGGAGACGTACAGGGGGCTAGACGCAGGCCAACCCCAATAAAGGATTTAGGGTTTAGGGTTTAAGGGTCTTACAAGCGCATGTATAACCTACTTGCTAAGGCCCCCGGGCCGTCAACTAAATAAGCTTTGCTATGTAAGGCTTCTGAACCCTCAACAAATTAAGATATGAGAGGCCGTAGCCCTCCCATGGAGATATCCCCACACCCTAAACCCCAAAACCTAAACCCTACGCCCATACCAGGTTTTGTGTAGGATGGTTCAAGAGGCACCCCAATAGTCCTCTTACGATCCCCATCAGGGGGATGTCGCAAAACAGGGATAGGCGGGGTTATTCTACTACCTCCAAAGGTAGCGCTCTGTTGAGAAACTTCCATGTTCTTCTACGTTCTGCTTAGAAGGAGATTGAGGGATAATGGGGTTGTTAGGGGTCTGATATAGGGAATCTACTTTTTAGATCTTTCCAGGGGTCGCGGCTATGATGTGTACTATGTCCAGAACCCTGAAACCGCAAACCCTGTACTGATGCAGTAGTCTCCATGTTCTGCTCGGCTCCAATTCCCTACTAAGCCAACCTAATCCTAGCATGCAGCTTGAACTACCACGCCCTTGTTGCAAACTAGGATTTTCTTACCCCATGATTGTGCTGCAGTACTTGTGAAGCTGCAAAGCATGACAGTAGCCCCCATCTCCATCTTGCCTTGAGAGCCCAGTGAATTTATAGCAATAAAGAGCCCTCTTGAATACTGAAAGGAAAACGCCTTCAGTGTCCTCGGAGCAAACACAGTTGATTCTACTCGAGTCCCTAATAAGCCCTCTTAGAAACCTGTCTGTACCCACAAGTACCCCTTCCGGTGACTGTTCGCTTATGGGGAATGAACCCAGCTTAATGTAGACCCCTGATTAATAAACCCCTCCCCTTAATTGGGAGGATAATAGGGATGCTCATATTAAGGCCCTTAGAAGGAGGGGGTTTATTAATCATGGGTCTACATTAGGATAAAGAGGGTCATCCTAAGGAATAGGGTTCTGAGCTTAGGGAAGAAGACCCTACTTGGAAGGTGGAGAGGACTTTGCACCCCAAGGCTTTTCAATCGGAGGCTCAAAAAACAAACTCCCAAAAGCTCAAGCCCCTCCTATGAAGGTACGCGTTTTTGTAGGAGGGTCCTAAGAGCCTCCGGGTAAGTCGGTTCGCAATGGGGATAGCTGGGGCTTATTCAATGGTATGAAGGATATGCTTACTAAGTTCCCCCAAACCCACGGAACCTACAGTGACCCCCTATTACCTACAGCTTAGTAGTAACAACCCCGGAAATTAGTCGGTAGAGCCGAAGACCTGTAGGTAATTGGGATTATGAGCAACCCCAAACCCTAAATCTCAAAGCCTAAACCTAATTGGGATTCATGGACACTGTGTAGTTTGAGGCTACTAGCACAATGTCGGCTTTACACACGAAGCTGCACGCTGATGAAACCCTAGACTCTTAAGCTGAAACTATGTTGAAAGTTTACGGTTTTGGCTTAGAGTGCATAAGCCTAAAACCTCAAAACCCTCAACACTGAACTCTAAACGCTACACTCTAAACCCTAAACCTGTACCCTAAACCTATAGACCCTCAGTCCTGGGCCCTACACCGGAAGGGTTTAGGGCTTAATTTCCCCACTTACTGAGCTCGCTAGGCCAGCAAAATTCTACAACCTCATGATGGTGGGAGTGCAGGAAGTCCAACATGTGGGACGTGTCCCTACGATAAGAATCCTTCTGGGTATGTAGGGTTTGGGGTTTAGGGTTGTGGTATGATCTTTTGACTTAGTAAGTTTACCTGGTATGACCAATATCATTAATTGTACGCTGCATGTATAAGCCGCATAACCCCTGTTACTAAGCAGCTGTGCTAAGTCAAGACATCCCGCAAGAAGTACCTGTATGGAAAATCCACCAAGCCCGAATTATAGACATACATGGACCCTTTGGGCTACCGAGCTTGTCCCTTCCCCCGTATTACGACCTCCCCTAAAATCAAATATGTCCGTTGTGGTAATATTGTAGTTTATGAAGAATATCTATTAGGGGCTGGGGTTTGGGGCTGGAAGGTTTGAATTCAGGGGAAGGTGATGACTATGTTTCTGCATGGACCAAGTCCATGGCGAAAAAGCTGACGTCCGACAGCACGTTGCTCTCCTGATTGCAGCCAAGAGACAGTAAAACCTAAACCCCAAACCCTCAACCCTTAACCTAAGAA